AAATACATTAAAATTCCTTGGATTGTATCAGATTTTCTACTTCAAAAGTAATTTCTCTATATTTCCCTCTCAAATGCTCTCAAAAGGCACCAATGATAGTTACTATAGATCAAACAGAGAATGTGATGTGATTCCAAGTTTATCCTATGGGATATTTCTTAACACTCAACTCAAAGGAAAAGAATGTTTAGTTTACATCAAATCCAAATTTCTGAAGTAACACAGAACCTCTCAGATTAGTTCTGAAATGTGTTGTTCGTTATACAATATTATTGTATTTTCACATAGAGTATTAATGGTATACTTTTTTTTGGAAAAGAAAACTTTACAGGAATTCTTAAATATCCCAATTATATTTTTATTATTCATTTAAACACACTTGTACATCACACAGAGCTTCAGAGCATGATTATAAAAATCAGTCGCTACCTCCCTTTATTTTTTTTAAATCACAGAAGAGTTTAAGAGCTGAGCAACTTACACAGAGGTGATAGCACTTAGATTTTCTGAAGTCTTGACAATACTAAGTATCTCATAAATCTAATTCTCAAAGTAGGAATCACAAATGTCACCAAGCACAGAGGCCTTATTAAAGTATCTTCATTTATCTTTCCAGGGTCCCCTTCTTTATCAGATTACTTAATACACTCACATTTACAGTTCTGAGCTGCCCAATCTCCTCAGCCCATTCAGTACTTCTCAAAACACACACAGCAACCGCACAGACCCTATTTCCCCAAAACAAAGTCATACTGTCAGAGAAAGTCTATCAGATTGTGTAAGTATCTTCTCAACATCTGTATGTAAACAGAAGTCACTGGATCTTCAGTAAAGGCAGTTTTTCCTTCAGAATATGTAAGAAATGTAAAGAGCTAGTATGTTCAACACAATAGCCCCATGTAATTCCTTCAGAGATTAAACTACGACATTAATGCTTGCTACAACAGTATTTATATATAGTCAATTGGCTCCATGAATAGGAAATAACATGACATACTGCAAAAAGTAGATTTCAGACAAACAGGTATTAAGAAGTCCAGTTTGTTATGATTTTATTTAAACAAAACAAGAGTTTAATGTTTTCATGCAACATTTGCATTTAAGTCTTAAATACTCATGACAAACAGCAGAAGTAGTTAAGGAATGCACTAATTATAGACTTTTGTGAATATACAAAAAACCTCAGCATTATAGGTTATACAAAGTAAAGAAGATCTTAAATGCTTTCCCCAAAATACTGCAGCAGCCGAGACACAGTGATATGCCTTACAAGGGCATAGGAATGTAATTTAGAAATCACATGGGAACTACCCATTTCCTTTAATTTCACAAACAAGACAAAAGCAACATTCAACTCCACAAACTGATTTTTCAAATTATGTCTATACAGTACCTTGTGTTTTATCCAAATAGTAAGAGTCAGACATGTCGTTTATTTAGTAAACAATTATGTGGTAAATTTCTACTACATTTCTTCCTTGGTTTTACCTGGAGTAGCCATGTTATTTAAAAGAGGGCAGGTTTGGCACTTTTATACTGATGTCACCAATATTAATATTTCTTGGGATCTCTGGCAGATTCATATTCTTTACAGCTGAAACAGCCCGGGCTGGAGCTCCTGCTAAACCAGCCTGTGTATAAAGTGAGGAGAAATGCAAGTCAGGCAAATTTGGTCACAAGAAGATTCACTAGTAATATACAGACAAATAACTTCTCAAGTATTTCCATGGTTACACAATTAGAAAGACCAGATGGTAATTGTGTTTGGAATGAAATGAGTTATCTGAAAATATTAAACCAGAAAGAGAAAACAGTTCACACATTATTTTTTATATGGTAAAACATGTAATGTCAGCTTGATGGAAAAGTATGCAGGGAGGAATAGGAGGCTTATCCAAGCATGTGTAATGTGTAGGTTACAGAACAGACAATCTTGAGATACTTGAAGTTCAATGTGCTGTCTTTCTCTCTTACCTATTCTAGAAGTTCACATGGTTCACAGTTGACTAACACTGGTTACAGGTTCAGAATATGTAACCTCAAAGTAACATGCTAGTGAATGTCAGTTGAACCATATTACTTATCTAAATGAATATATATATAAAAGGTATTCCGAGGTGGCTTAGCCTAAAATAACAAGGATAAACATCTTGCATTTTTGGGTAATAAAAGAGCATGCTAAGAGATCATTTCTATAGAGCAACTGGAATAATCTGTGGTCCCATAGTATCTGATTATATGCTAACATACCTGCAGCCCCCAGGCACACTGGAACATTACATAATAACCTGGTTATGCCAAATTAAACGTTGAAGCACTTTATTTTGTATTAGAGTCCTCTACGGTATATGGTCTCTCTTCATTTAAAGCCAGAGCTTTTCTGTATAAATATGCAAATTTTACAATAGAGAAGTAAGTTCATTATTGACTTAAGTTCTGCCTTTTAAATAACTGCCAAGTTTACACACTAAGGTATATTACTGAAATGCTAATGAAGATGATTTACAGCTCAGAGGTCTGAAGGCATACAGAAAATGATCTTTCCTTATTGCTTCTGAAGAACAGCTCTTCAAAACCTTGTTATTTTAAGGACTATTAAAAAAAGGCCAATAATTAAGTTGTTACTGTATTTAATGTGGTGTAGAAAAGGTACTATTCATTTTAAGTATGGAAATGTTTCTCCTAAAAGTTCAGATTCTCTACATGTATTTAGAATTAGCTGTGTATTTTTACCTCAGGCTTGCCACAAAAGTGTAAAAATCATTTCTATTCTTGATGGGGGCGGGGGTGTCCCCTCCTTGCTGTCGGCAGGATCGCGGGGGGGTGGGGGGGGGGGGGGGGGGAAAGAGCCTAGTAGATTTTAAAAACAGCTCTTATTTGCAGAAAAAGACATCATATTCCAAATTCTGTGAACATGTAAAAAATTTGGCTTTTATTTTGATATTTTAAAAGTAGGATTAAAAATATTCAAAAAGAATATAAACCACAAGTGGTTTTCAGAACTACTATAGTTTTACAGTGTAGCATCATGCAGGCTCAGTAAAAAGGAGAAATCCACAAGAAACAAAGCAACATGCTAACTGGTTAAACACAAGACTAAACCCAAAGAAATGGAAGGTCTTTCACTATAAGAGCATCAAAGACTGAAGAAACCAGCGCATTTGCAGATAAAGTAATTCTGAGCAAGAAAAACAAACAAAAAACCAAAAAAAACCTGCAAAAGTTTGTGTCATGGTAGATTATTAAATAGTGTTGGTAGGTGACTACTGCTCAAAGTATAACCTTTTCAGATTCTTCATGTTCACTGAAATTCATTGCAATTACAGGGTATAGTTACTGAGGAGTACATCAGACTTCTGTAGTGTCCACCTGCACTACTGCACAAAATGAGACAGACACCCCATATACTCCTTAGGTAACAACTCCACTTTTTGCAGGCTGTCCAAAAAGTGTTTTCCTCCTTTTACTACTCTCTCATAAGAAATAAATGTAAAGTCAAATTAACATAAAGATTTCCACTTAAAATCCTACCTACTGTTCTCCTCCTCCCTTCAAAAACATAACCCATAATCAAAATAAAACCGACTAAAGTTTCCGATTTTGAACTAACCCTTTTATATCATGTGGAAAGGCTAAAGCATCATAAATCCCTAGATTTTAGTCACCGGAGGATTCTCAGTACCAGGAACAGAGACCAGGAAGCCATGGGTCATTTGTTATAAGATCCCCCCTGCCAAATATATGAGACATGCCAAAGCTGGGAAAGGCACGTGGGGATTGAGAAGAAAGCTCAGGAAATCTTAAATCTCTAATGCAAACAAATAATTTGCTCTCACTTTGGCCCTGACATAATCCAAATTACCAGTTCTCAGAAGTGCAGACTAAGTAAAACTACAAAGGCGCAAAAAAGTATTTTCAAAGCCTTTTTTTCCTTGGTTTCCCTTAACATCACCAAGTCTATCAGGTCGTTCACTTCAGAGGCTGTTTCAACTGCAATACCTTCATGAAAGGAAAATCTGGACCTAACACTGGTAGTATTAAGAAATGCAAGTATCCAAAATCTGCATCCCTGAATCTGCAGTATCCTAAAGGAACAGTATTTGACACTGCAATTTCTTGCTATTTATTAAAAAACAGTGCAGAAGATATGAAACTGCTCAACACTGTCCTTTTATATTTAAGAACCTAGAAATACTGATTTGAAATCAAGAGGTAACTACCAGTGAAGTTTTATCAGATAAAACAATAAATGCATTTCCTTTTTTTTTTGGTTCTATCCTTCAAATTCTATATTCAGTAACTGGAGAAAAATTCTTTAAACAAAACCAAAAGTGGGGCAATGTAAACTGTTTTCCATAGAAAAGATGAAAATACTAATAAAGTAGTAACAAAGGTAATGAATTATACAATTTGTAACTGACACAATGCGAAACTATAAAAATATTCTAAGTGATGGGCATGGTCCGCACAAACAGGCATGGCTGGCAATTCAAAAGAGAGATGCCTTCTAGGTGACCAGGATGGAGACTCCTTACCCTAATTTAATGAAAGTTAATTATTCTTAATGGATAAAAAGAAGTTTTAGTATAACTAGTCATTATTTTTACCTACCTGCAGCTATCCACTTTATACAGACTTACAGTCCCTGCCTCCCGCCCCAATGGCATAGGATACAATGGAGACACAATTGAGAATTATTTAAAATATCACAGTTGACATGACCATTGCCCTTCCACCCCCCTATACAATCACGACGTCCAACAGTGACATTTCATGAGGACCATTCTGGATCAGGATCTGCAAAGATCCCTGACAAAAGTACTATGAATTTCAGATTACCTCTTTTTTTGCCAGCGAGATTGTCTTTCATTATCATATACTGGAGTACAGATTTTCAAACTACTACATTCTCTTCTCCTGTAATTCTCTGTATTAAGTGAATTTTTAATTCAGTGTATACAATGCTATTTATCACGATTAATGTCAACCCTATCAAGCACAATACAATCATACAGTATTTCTAAGAGAGAGAAAACACTTCATAAAAAATGTCTAATGGATAAAATGACTGAAAAGTACTTAAACTCCCAAACTGGAAAACTAATACATTATTTCAAATGCTATTATATCTGAATGCCGTATATTCCTTTTTACCATGTCAAACAGTGAACTAGTATGCAGTCCTCTTTTTTTTTTTTTCGGTAACAGAAAATTAATTGTATTTACAAACACAAAGGTACTAAAAGAAGTACTTCCAGCTCAGTGTGCTTTTAAGGAGTTTTATAGAGGTACCTGATTAATAGAGCCATCACTGTAGCACTGAACTGGACAAGTTTCAACTGCCTTTTTTATCAAATAATTCAGGCAAGTAAGTTGGTGAGGTGTAAAGAAAAAACTGTTTCACTTGAAAAAAAAAACAAAACAACAACGTAGCAAGCTTTAAACATGCAGTGAATGATGAATTGTCTGTCACAGCGAGCAAATGACTTAAGCAAGTGAAAATGAAACTTAAGACATTAATGAAATACAGTACGAATTGCATCATACAGCTGGTATTACAATAAGCCAATACACCACATTTTTGCCACAGCTGCTTTGTATTCTCAATTTCATTTATTACTGAAGGCTGTACTTTAATGTTGAAACACTGTATACTAACATTTTAGGTTCAGTTACTTAAAAAAATGCTTGTAAACATGTTCATATACTTTTACAGTGAAAGAGCAATGCCACATATGCAAAACAATAATGTTGGTTTAAAGATTGAAATAGACATGTTTAATAACAGAACTTTTATTCTACTGGTCTTGGTCTAACAAGTGAGAAATAGGAGCTGTTGTTAGTTAACTTAGGTCTTTATTTATCACTATAGGAATCAATTTTCTTCATCCCTATCACCACCCTTTCTCATAATGCCCCACTGATAACTTCATATGAAAGTGATCCCAGAAACATTGTTTTACTCTTTAAAAAGAAATTCAGATCATTTGGAAAAGTATTCCACATCATAAATGTGGTTAATATGCATATACAAATAGAAAAAAAAAAAAATTCAAACCACTGTCCCAAACAACTCTACACAGATCTAGCTATCACTAAAATAAACATATGAAAATATACAGCCTACTGGAAAACAAAATAATGACCGCTAATGCTTTGCAAAATAAGCCACCCTTTTCCAGATGTTTCAGAGGTACTAGGACCTCTCTGCTGCTGGTGTTTCACACCAATGCTTCTTTCCAGAACAAGTATGACTTCAAAGCAGCAGGGTTATGAAATCATGAAAGGATGCAATACATAATATAAAGGAATGATCGTGTCCCCTGCTTATGAAGTTAAATAAATGAACATAATTAGAGAAAAAACAAAATGAAGTCTGCAAGTATATCAAAATGAGGCCAAACAGATAAGAAGACTTAAGACATACTCTTAGAAATTTTAAGCACTTGAATCACAAAGAGAGTAATGGATGGGAATGATTATTTATTTGTTTGTTTTTCATTGCCAGACCCAAAAATAAAAACAGAATATGTATGAGCAGAACAAAGAAAAAGAAAAGTGGCTTTGCACAAATAATAAAAGCAAAAAGAACCCAAACCTGAAATCAAGCTCCCTACTGTTACAATGAAATACAAATTATATTTTACAAGTGTTGACGTATTAGGCAGAGGAAGGTCATTGGTTTGATTTTCTTCATGTGCTGTAGCATATTTCAAATTTAAGTAAAATGTTTCATACTACCCCAAAATATTTTTATCTAATGCTTTACAACTTAGTGCTACTAAATCCAATTACAGAATTCTATTTGTTAAATCTTAAAGGTATTACATTACTTTATCCCAGAAAGATCATGTAAAAAGTAAAGAGCAAAGCTATTCATAAATTAAATAAACTTCATCTACTTAAGATTTCAGCTATTTAAAATACCTGCAGTTTGAATACACAGATACTTAAAATGAGTGGAAATGAATTCTGGAGTACTGCAATTAACATTGACTGACATTCAAACTGTTGAGCTGAACTAAATGTTTCAAACAGCAAATGATGGGGGACAATGACCATAAACTGAACGTGAAACACACATTTTCCTCCTCCTTTTTCAGTTCCTTGCTAATATTCATGTTCAGTGACTGGAGTTACCAAGATATCTTAAAGTAAAATCCAGTGATTCAGATTGCAAGGGCAGCAAATGTTTATCTAAAGTTCAGTACATGCTGACCGCCCTTCTCACTCTATGTTTGATATACTTAAGGTGAAAGATAAACTTAAGGTTGAAAGATAAACTTTGGTATTTCTACATAATTTTTACAAATTGCACTGATAATTTTATTCTGTATGTATAAAACTATTCGACTTTGTTAGTTTGTTGGTTTTAGTGTGGGTTTTTTTTTTTTAAAATGTTTTTTTCACCTGAAACTTATTATAAAACTTCCCTTTGCAAGCAGGTAAAAGTTCTTTATTTTCATTTGGAAATACTAAATGATGAAACAAAAGAGTTCATATGACCCATTTTAGATTACCAGGTAGAAAATTCTCCCAGTAAGGAAGTTATTTCTATTAGGTCACCACATCTTATTTTGTTATTTGTGTGTTCAATTTTTATTCAGATTAGTTTTGCAGTTTTTTTGTTAATATTCATGCAAGTTCATATTCCTTTGTTTCTTAAACAATGATACAAAGAAAAGTTAAATTCTAAAATGCAGGAAGAGAAATAAAATAAAAAAATATGATGTCAATGGAAAGCTAGTAAAATATACTATAGCCAATAAAAAGATGAGGGAACTACAAGAAGAAACTAGCACAAAAAGTAGGCTACAAGGACTAGTATGGGTATTTTCACACATAATTTTTGAGTCTGGCCTACATAATTTATTGCCTTTGACATCATTTTGCTTTCCCTTTTAGTTAAAAGTATATTTTTTCTAAAAGTCAGCAATACCTTTGTCTACCTGTCCTGTCTGGGAGACTGAAAGATAAAGGTCTGTAAGAGAGAAGAATGGAAAGAGCTAGAAAAGATCAGGAGGTTCGGAAAAAATGAGGTCCAACTTAAAAGTCTAAATCACAGGCAGTTGAACACTCCAAGTAGAGAAGAGGTAGCCCAGGTTTACCTACAATACTTCCAAAGGCTCTGAATAAAATCCCAATGACCCCTCTCCCAAAAATTCCCTCCCTTAATCACAATGATCCTTTGGCTTTAGGAGGATCGACCAGAAATCCATTCACAGATAAACACTGAACTGAAAGGTAGGGAAATGCATTTAAGACAACATTTCTCAGGGTAGAAATAGAATCTACTCTGTAGCCCATCCAAGCAATGTAAGCGCTGAATCAGAAAGCAAAGCTAGGGACTCCCTCATAATCGTTTAAATAATTAATCTCTGTTGAAAGCATTAACAAATTCTTTGAGTTGATAACTTTGCTTAAATATTTGTGAATTTAATAAACAGATTTGATCTCCTTCACTAAATTCTAACTGAAAGCCTGTTTAGAAACTTAATACATAACTAAACAAATACCTGATGTCAAATGGCTAAATTTTGTATGTTAAAGGAAGCCAGGTGGGCACAATACAAAATTTAAAATAGTTCTGAAAAATGTAGCACAGTTACAACTTTATTAGCGTCATCATTTCAGCTATAAATGAAAGGGCAATTTAACCTTAAAGCAGCTATCTTATGGATGCAGGAAGTATGATAGAGGTCTAACAAGCCAAACAGACTAAAGCTGTGCTGTGGCACAGGTGGCAGTCTTATGAACTACAGACTATACCAATAATAATTTGTAAATTTTAAAAATAATTTAATTTTTTTTAAATGAAAGGAAACTAAGAAGATCCACTAGTTTTGATTTCTTAGTGACCAGCCTTCAAAAATATTATTGTTACTGATTTTGATTTACATGAACTAAATCTGCTTGTATCTTGAAAATACATGTTCAGGAAAGACATGTTGAAAGATATACAATCTTGATCAAAAAGACAAAAGGAAAAGAAATAGCAATCAGGAAACTTCTGTGGTTATACATGAAACAAATGATTAATGATCTGAGGAAGTAGTTACCAGGTATTGTGAAGTATCTCAGCATTACAGTAACTGTTGAATTTGAAAAGAAACAGTCACTGAACAAAAAAAAAAAAAAAAAAAAAAAGGATTTTGGGGACCCAGCTGATCCGCACTTGCCAGTTTTATTTGAGCAGACCATGAAATATTCTACTCCATCCCAGTCACCAAGTGTTTTCATTTATCACTGCTACTTCTCTACCTTCTGTAATTCATTGCTGAATGTAAAGGAACAAGTTCCTATTTGGCTCGTATATGCTCTGAGCTCTAGATGTTTTTTTTGTATCTTCTACCACCTATTTTTATACTAAAAGCATCTTAGAAGAAAGAATGACTTACTGATGAGTAACAGAAAACAGTAAGTACTGCAGCTGGCTGCACTGAATTAATGTGTTTCAAATGACTAGTTAGAGACTGGTCTACAGTTGAATTGGCAACAAAATTCATATAATTAAGAATGAATACCTTAATTAAATGCTTTCAGGTGAAAATGATGTGTGTATAATAGACAGCAGAACGTAACTGCTCAGTGTCCCAAAAGCTGAACTTACTATGTTACTTTTCCATCAAATAAAGAAAAATATGTATATGCAAGTTATTAAAATATAGTAAAAAATTATGCGGAAAATTCCAAATGTTCACCTCTGTGATCAAAGGCTCATTCTGAGTTTGAGAAAAATGTTAAAATGAACATTTTGGACATCTTCACAATCCACAATACAATCTTTCTGGATGTATATTGCTATGCACTGTATCACATCATACCTAGCTTCTTCCTGTTTTTCATAGTGTTGTCCTATTCTTGGATACAGTTTGAAAGTTGTGCAGAACAGATAATTCAATGTATTAAAAGACTTGAAGTAGTGCAGTGTGAGACTGCAGAATTAGGAGAACGGTATACACTGTACCATAAAAAAGCTGAAGAATTAATTTATCTCTTTTTTGTCTTTAAGTCAAAACTAGCAAGTTCTCTGGGTCTTCCCCTAAAATGTCGTTTAGTTCATATTTATGCCACCTGCAATATTTCAGCCTACTCAGCTGATTTCAACTTTACAAACAGTCTCCAATTCAAGCAAATGTTTGTTTGGAAATTTGAATATTACACTTCGAAAATCAGAAGAGGCATTCTTCTGTGGAATTACTCTCAGTAAGAATCAATCACAGACTTATAGTCTATACTAATAGTATTTTGGCTTAGAAGGCATGTCTGGTGATGTTAAAGCAACAGTAATATTCTATGTCATAGCTATAAGTAATTCTGAAATCCTTTCTTAGTCTAAGTTTCTTTCCTAAACACAAATTCAACAATTGTTTAACTGAAAAGAGATTCCCACAACTTATGTGAGTATCCCTCACTCAGACTGTTACGGGCAAATACAGAATATATTTTTCTCACTCGAATCTAGTCAACTGAAGACCAAATGTTCAGATTACCAAAATGGCAGAATTTATATTTACTTTAAAGGGTCTAAATCTGGGCTTTAAATTCTATCTATTCCATTTCAGTCCAATTTATTATTTGTGTTGCAATATTATGGTGACACTAAATATGCTGTGATTTCTTTCAGGTGCTAGAAACATACTAGCAGACAGGAATATGTAGTCTTCACATACACACTTTAGTTCTTCATCTAATTTAAGTGTTATAGTCACTAGTCCAGTGTAACAAATAAACTGGAAATAAAATGCTTTCTTCAAGAGAAATTTTGAGAACTGCAGAAGTATCTCAATAGCAATGGTGCACAATGCTATTAGATACAAATAGCAAAAAATAATCAGCAGCGACTCTAAGTAATTATTACCTATCATAAAGGTATGACATCCTAACCTAATGATACATTGTCAGTTTTTAGCATTATAAGCAAGCAGCTGCATATAGTTTGCTACTGAAAGATTATATAGCATGCATTTACTACAACCATGTTTTTAGTTTAGAAACTACACTGTGCATCACTCTTACCTCAGATTTCTCCAGTTTATTTTGAGCATCAATCTGAGTGACAATTTCATTCATGTTGGTCTCCAAAACCATTCCACCCATGACCATTTCGGCCAATATATTATGGACCTAAAAAGACCAACAGAAAATTTAAAAATGCAAAATGTCCTACATGCATCTGGACAGATGATATCTAGATTCCTCAATATAGGAACATGTATATTCTGTAAATCACTTAATTAATGTTAGCAATTTATTTAAAACCAGTTGGTAACAGAGCTCATAATTTGCTGTTCGTTTCTGCAGTATCTTCTTTGCTCATAGTTCTGTTACAAACTCATCAGCTATACCATTTTGTTTATCAATGCTAGGATGAACTTTCACATTCATCCTTCTTTCAGTACCTGTTTTCTATCCAAGGACTGCAGACAAGAGTTCTAATTAGCATCAACAGTAGTAATACCTCTAAGGAGGAGGTTCTAAAAGATCAAACAAATTGCTCACTAATAGATGCGTAAAAACTACTTTGGGATACATCTATGAAGGAAGAGAGACAGTGATGCTTACCCACCATGGATTCCAAGACTAGGCTTCGAAGTAGAATTAATATACCTGAGCTGACCCGTACCTGAGCTACACCATTAACAGGGGCTCTTCAGCATCTGGGACTAAGATTGACAGCTAGGACTCAAACTGAAGGACTACATAAGCCAGGTGGGGACATTAATGAAATCAGTATGTCTAAATATCCCTCTTCCCTGCAACCCTGATTTGGGGATGCAAGCTCTGGTTCACGAATCTCTGCTTCAGAGTCTGTATTTGCACTTTATCTAAAAACTAGTTCTTTTTAAAAAAGGCATGCTTCCACATACCTTCTAGTAAAAATCCAGAGTTAATATGTAATGTATAATATTTTAATCCCATTATAATTCTGAAGACAAGGAACATTTTCTAACTTTTCTGAAATAAACATATTGTACAATCTGATACTTCAAAGCATAATTCCGCTATTATTTTGGATATTCTTGCAGATCGCCTGTGGATCAAGGGTAGAAGTAAATTTATAAATCAAACAATTCTAAACATGAGTTGCAAGCAGTGTATCAAAATCCACCACACTTCCGGTTCTTGTGCCATAACTCAAAAACGAAATTGAAGAGTTGTTTCCCTGATAAATCATTAGAATATTTCAGCAGAAACTTACAATGAATGTATTTAGAGAGGCTGAAAACAGCTCTTCCTCTCTACCTATCGCTGCTGAGTAGAATCAAATATTTATGAGAAAGATTAACAATCTTTACTGAGGCATTCTCTTACTCCTGGCATATCCATGTACCTCATAACATTCCAAGCTAAAAAGCATAATATGAAAGTGATACCAAAGGATTCACTCTCCTGGCGTGTTATTAGGTGAATTTAAAAGCTTTTTAGCATCATAATCAGAAAAAAAGACAAAACCATGGTAATCTAACATTAATTTACTCTACACTGACAATCCAAATGCATTGAAAGACATTATTTATTTCTTTTTACTGAAACCTTATTTTCACTTACAGCATAAGGAAACAGTTTATAGCCATAAACAAACAGGAGTTAATAAATACATTTCATGGGCTATGTGAAATACTAAACCCAAAAAACTTATATAAATTTTCCTTTGGTTACAAATTTGAAAAGAAATTTCACAGACACCTGATCAAAGATACAAAGTATTTAACAGAATCAACTGAAAAAATATCGATTTTTCAGACAATTCTCAATTTTACTTATACAGAAGGCTTGATAATGTAGGTTGATGATGCAAAAAGCTGACTTAATATGTTGCTAGTATCAAAAAAAAATAAAAATCAAAGATGTTAATACGGAAACTATTGTAAAAAAAAATTGAGAGACACAAAAATGGCATGTTCTTTTTCCTTAACCAAAAAGTTAAAAATAACCATTAAAGGCATTTAGAAGTCAATACATGACCACTTGTGATGGTCATGAAGAATGCCACTTTAAAAAGGTCTGGCTAAAGATGTTATAGAATCAGTTTAAGCCAATCAATGCAATATTAAGTGGGATAATTCCTTAGGGAGGAGGCGGAAGATGCGTTTTAGAAGTAGACAGATTTGTAGCTTCAATCACAATCACTCCATTCCAAGACCAGTGATGTTTTTAAGCTTCTGAACAGGTTTATCCGGCCTTCTTCACTACTCCACAACTTTTAAGCCATGTGGGATTCTCCTTAGAATACAGAAAGACTGGCTATTACAATATGCATAGCCACCAAAAATAAAACATAAAAACTACAAAGGTCTTCACAATACAATATTTATCTGGTGATTTTGGTTATATTTTAGTTTATCAAGAATTTACTAAGCAAGTGTTTTTCACATGCTATGAAATTTAGGGGTTTTTCTTTTCTACTTTCTGAATAGGCATTATACAGACTTACAGAAGGACTAATAAATAATTCATGTCCCCGTACACAAGTGGAAATTTTCTGGATAGTCTTAACTAATCTGAGCGTTTACTATGAAGTGGGCCTTTTCCATCTCTCAATAAAAATACAGCTTAACAGTGCAAATATCATCACTTGCTACTACAGGTTATAGATTTGGATTTTATTTTCTTTTTAAAAATGCATCTGGCTCCAAAATGGCAACCGCAGTCATTGCCTCCAGATTTTAGGTGAGTATTTCTCATTTTGCTCTTTGTGGCAGAGTTGGTAATGTCAAGAAAGAAATTCCAGCTCTAACTTTAGCCTCAACTAATAGCCTCAAAATTCAGAAACTATTCACTTTAAAGTCAAAAGAGTATTTCCATTGTTGAAGAATACATTTTAATTTGTGGAGGATACCTGAAATTGCATTGATAAGTACATGAGAGACTAAATTCCAGCCTACATCCTGGACAAGAAAAGGAATTGAATTTGATTTCCTTTTAACGTTCTTGAAAACTTTGCCAAGTTCTAGAACTTGGCTTTTCTTTTAAAGCACAGAAATAATTCATATAGATTTCTGACTGAATAGGCAAGAAATTACATCTCAGTAAATTCCCATTTACTTCAGTCTTATTCAGCAGACAACTTCACAGAACAAGCCGTGGAAGTCTAGCAGGACAGAACAAAAGAATGTAAACGAGCAGATCTTGACCTTTACAGATTATTCATTTCTGTTTTAAAATAAAACAAAAATTAATGAGTGATATTTTTACAAAACAAACAAACAAACCCCAAAACCTCTTTTCTCAGGTAATCTCTTTCTAACAGCTTACTGATATAAAAAAACGAGATGCTAAAGCTCTAAGATAACAGGCTGAACTCCATATGAAATCTACACCAAAATGACTGAAGATACTGGTTATTTGATTAGATTTTCACAAGTTTTCCAGTTTCTCTGAAATAGATTACACGGTACATTTAAATCCATTTCTTTTTAAATTATGCAAGGTTTTGTAGCTATTTTTCCCCCAATAGGTAAATGTAAGCAATTACAGTCATGTCAACACCGCTCATAACAGAGATCACTTTTTCCCCTAAAGTGCTACTGACATGGTACATATATAGCATATTAGACTACATCTGAACACTCTGTCCAGTTTGGAGCCTGCAAGTGCAAGACAGACATTAATAAATTGGGCTGAGTTCAGCAGAGGGCCACCAAAATGGCTGGGGCTACTACATACATCCTGGGCAGAGAGGCTGGAGCATCAGGACTGGTTCAGCATAGACAATGCAGGGCTTAGGGGCACCTAACAACAGCCCTCAGTGCTTACGAAGGGCTGTTGGGGGGGCCCAGGCTCTTTCAGAGGGGCACAGCGGGCAGGTGAGGGACAGGTGAGGCTGGGACCCGCCATAAGGAAACCTTCCCCTGGGAGGACAGCAGCCATAAGGAAACCTGCCCCTGGGAGGACAGGCAAGCAGTGGCACAGGCTGCCCAGGGGCTGTGCAAGCTCTCCCCTTCCCTGAGCAGCCTGGCCTCTGCTGGGGGCAACCTTGTACCTGGCACCTCCTGAGGCCTGTAATTGAATTATCTTACGATTTTATGGTAAAAACATGGTACTTCATGATATGGAGAGAGTTTCACTGATAAAAACAAATGCTTCAGAGCCAGAAACTCGCTCTATCCATTACAGGCAGGAAATCTAAGTTTCTGGAAAAAGCTAGATGCAGAGAATTAGAGACAATTTAAGTGTAATGCATATGTCCGCAATATTAGTTGTACCAGAAGTGTCTGTATATATACATATGAATAGGAAATTAAAAAAAATCATTTATACATATATATGAAATTAAGAAAGAACAATTCATTGCATTTCTAAATACAATGGTCTTGCATCAGCCAACCTCCTCAAAGCCAGATTATAAAGTATAAGGAACATACTAACACTTACTACTTATCAAGTGTAGGAAATATTTTAAAGCATAACTGTGGAAGGATCACAGGCACTTACACAGCTGTCCAAACAAAACTCCGAAAGTTTTAGAAAACAGTATCATTAATATTAGTGTTCCCTATCATCACTTGGATTGAAAGAGATACTAAACATCACTAAACATATTACTTAATGACACATGCCTTCAACTACGAATTCACAGCACATGCAGTAGCAACTTCGCAGATGGTTTTAAAAATACTGAAAACATGAACAAATGCCTGTGGACTGGGTTTGGTTTCGGGAGGTTTTAGTTGGTTGGTTGGGTTTTCTTCCAACCTGGTAAAAGATGCAGAGATATTGCTTAATAGATGCCAGTAGGAGGCCCAGTTAGTAACATCACCTTAAAACAGTAGTAGTGCAAGGCCCCTACAATAAGTGCACATTATGTATGACAGTTCAAGGAATAATGTAATATAATAATATTACAATATCTTATAATATGACCTATCTGATGCATTTTGTGTAATATGAAGACAGACATAAATTCAAAAAGTGGCCAAGCTTGAGCAGAGGGACTAGACTGCATGGCCTCCACAGGTCCCCTTCAGTGTGAAATATTCTATGATGCCAAGAACAAAGAAGCTGAACTGGTTTACTATTTTATAAATTAAAAAAAGAAAAAAGCCTTCTGGAGCGCATAGACCACTGATTGTAAAAGTAAGGCTGTAGCCTAACTGCAACGAAACATGGTAACCACTGCATGATACTGAGGGAAAGAATGTGACTTACAGGTTCAAAGGATGCATCTCACCAAGGCATCAATCCCCCTCAGTGTAAATTCTGAAAGAAGTCTGCAACTTGCCAGCAAGTTACAGATTAAGAAGTAATTGACAAGGGAGCACCATCTGTAGATATAAAAGGGCTGAAGGTAAACTTCAGGTTTCTGGCCAGCTGCAGCACTGATGCCATAACTGTAGAGAACAGCAGTATACTTGTATGACCTGTGTCAATTTCCAGCCTTTGGCAGTTATTGCCATTATCCTTATTATGATGGATGAAGTGAAGAAGGAGAATGAATACAATTCTGAATACAGCTTCTCTCAAATAAAATTGCTCATAATCCAGACTGTATATACAGATTCACAAATACTACAATAAGCTTTACAGACAGAAAGAACGGCAGGGATATATTATTTTATTAAAGGACACTGGTCCACAGAGGAATGTCTTAGTATTCTACATCAAAACATTAAGAAAATATCTTCCTTAATCTTTTTAGTCACAAAGAAACTATTTCATTACTCTAGCTGTTGGTGTTTTAAAGGATTGCTTTATTATAATTTTGCTCTCAGAAAATCCTCTAGGAAGTACAGAGTACAAATTAAAGCACCATAAACTACCCCTGAGCAGTTGTTCCAGTATTTCATGTTCAGCGTTTCATGTTACAGAAGATGGTGACATTTTATAAAATTACGCAAGAAATCTTAAGAGTACTATTTATCCTGATATAAATTGTCTGTTTCCAAATATCTCCAACTTAAGGATTCCTGAACCACAGATTGTTTGCTGTTTCTCGCTATATTATTGTATTTTATAGCCCCTGCCAAATTTTAATTTGGTTAATATGTCTAATCACTTTTGAACCTATTTATAGTATTATTGGAATCTATGATAAAATGGGACAACGGCATTCCATAATTTAATTATCAATTACAAAAAATGCATTTTCTTTGTCTCAAACTTACTTCCTGAAATTTTATCTGATATCACACTCTTTACTTCTGAGGAACACAGTTGTTCATTTTCTTCTTCAACACCTTTTTTCATATATTTCTTACTTCTCTGCCTCCAGCATCTTGACTATTTAACTTCTTCCATGCAAGCTGTTCCAGACCTTGGATCATGCTTCTTACCTTTCTCTGTATTTTTTTTCTACTTTTAGTGGGCAAGTCTAACATGCAGTATTTAAACATGTTTATAAAGCATGGATTGACAGCAGTTTAACTATTTTTTTTGTCTTGCCTCATTTTTCTTCTAAAAGGATGATTTTCTAAATAACAGAATACAATTAATTTTACTTGTTAATCTGCTATGAAAGTCATGACTGTGACCAATAATATTATGTAAATATTGTAATCCATTTACTCCCTTCTCTTAAATACACTAGAAGAATAAAACAGCACTAGCAAAAGTTTGCCCAGATATGAGTAGTAGCAAGACATACATTTTTAATACTATTTTTTTTATTGCCAATATATATTAACAAATACACATTATTTTCTCTACTTTTTCTAATTAAATATTTCACTATTTCCCTAAAGAAAAATTTTTTCTGCATTAAAAAGCATTAAGTGGCAATGAAGTGCAAAATAAACTTCAACAGTGTATTCAAAGACGTGTTTAAATGAAAGACTGGAATGGAATACACCTCTCATATTCTAAAAGAGATCAGACTGTTGAGAACATCAACTTCTCAAAATCTGAAATTGCCATTTTGTAATAATAATTTTGAGGTGCTTTTACAAAAATCAAGAGTGCTTCCTACTTCTGTTCTGTGCACTGTCTAAAAGCATGAATGCATGCTTTAACAAATGGGGAGAAGGAATGCATCAAGAAAAAAAAGCGCTCTCAGGAAAACTTGGCAAACACATTTTCTTGTCTTCAAGCTGCAATCTGAATCTGGAGGGTTGACTGCTCTGGTCAGATAATAAACTCTTGGAAGAGATCATGATACTCCCAGAGATATTTCAATAGGTGCCAAAAACCTGTGGAAAAATAAAAGTATTTCCTTGCATCCCTAATTGAATGCATTCTAATATTTTAGCTGTAAAAGATTCTTATGATAGCCTTCTGTGATGTCTTCTCCATCAGAAAGCATTACAGAATCACAAAATCAATTTGGTTGGAAGACACCTCTGGGATCATCACGTCCAACCCTTCCCCTAACACCACCATGTCAACTAGACCATGGCACTAAGTGCCACATACAGTCTTTTCTTAAAGTCCTCCAGGGATGGAGACTCCACCACCTCCCTGGGCAGCCCATTCCAATGCCTAACAACCCTTTCTGTGAAGAAATGCCTCCTAACTTCTAGCCTGAACTTCCCCTGGCACAGTTTCAGACTATGCCCCCTTGTCCTGTCACTAGTTGCCTGGGAGAAGAAACTGACCCCCACCTCGCTACAACCTCCTTTCAGGTAGTTGTGGAGAGCGATAAGGTCT